TCGGGCTCTTTTCTTCGATAGAAATGATGGCGAGCTGTCGTGAGAAAGGAAGAAGACGAAGAGGATGAGAAGACCAGGCACCCGAGTGTCGCTGACTATATTCTGGTAGACGGTGATGGAGGCATGCGATGCCTTTCTTCCACGGCGGGCCTGGAGACGAGGTCAATGAGTCGGCAGAAGCATGTCCCGTCTACTGTTGACTCCCGCTCCTCTCAAGTCGGCCGAGGACAGACCTTGGCCATGGAAGGTGCAGGGTACTAGATATGGAGACGGAGCGGTTCGCAGAGAGGGTGCCTCTGGTCGCGGGCTCTCAACCGGTCACGGTCTGGGAGGGTGATGGACGAAAGAGGGCCCTGCCCACCGGCGACGAGAAGAGCCCAGACGGACGAGCAAGCAAGTGCAAGTGCGAGAGAGCAGGAGCGATGAGCATGCGCGGGTACAAAGGCGTCAGGGGTGGGTCTCTGTAACCCGCATGCCCAGACAAGGTTCTCAGTACCGTCCATCACCCTTAGAATGCTGGCTTCCTGAATGTAGAGGAAACCCAGTATGAGCTAGCGCGGTACCTGACGCAGCCCCATTAGCACGAGAAGCAGTCCCCTGCAAGGCCCGGACGGGACCTTCGACGTTTCCTTCCTTCCACTTGCCTGGGAAAGCCGGACCCATCCTCTCTCGCTGAACTTCTTCCTCTTCTTCCCTTCCTAGACACATCCCTTCCTGGCTGCTGAGCTTCATATCGCGAAGCATCCATACATCTCTCCTTCATCCAACTCCCCTGCTTTCGGATCAGAGCTCATCAGACATCCTCCCCTGGCTCTCCCTTCTCCTGCTGCCCATACGCCTCAGCATCTAGCTGCCAATATCGACGAGCCGTCGCTCCGTCTACCACCCACCCACCTCTCACCTCGTGGACAGGACTCGATATCCGTCTCACGCGTCGCTCATCACCCCTTGACCTTGCGCTCTCGGCTGGCTTCTCAGGACTCTTCCTGTACTATTCAGGGACTGCTCATCGTTGAGCAGCACATCCGATCCTCAAGAGAGGGCAGCAAGGCACCTTTGCCATTCTTCATGGATCGAGGTGTTTGCCATCTCTCGTGACTGTCCAGCTCGCTGGCCCTCTCGCATTTTCATCACTCTGCGGGAAGGGCCTCGAAAGTAGTCTAAGCTCCACACGTTTGCCTTTTCGGCGCGTCTGAGCCGACGACGTAGCCACCATGGCTCCCAAGTCGTCTAATGCGAGCCCCTCCGCGTCAAGAGACCAGTCTGGCAGCGCGACTCCCTCCGCGCCAGGCCCTCCCGACTCTCTCACGCAAGGTTCCACGGCCACCACTGTCCCTTCAACCTCGTCTACCACACAGCCCTCAGTTTCCAATTCGCGACCCAGCGCTTCCGAGACGAATGCTGGATCCGCAGCTGACGCCTCACAACCCATGACCAAGTCCATGTCGTCTGGCTCAGATCCCTCTGCCAAAGACGCAGCCCAAGACACCGCCTCAGGGTATGGTACACGGTCGCGCAACCGCAACGGTACCTCGCGCATCAACTATGCAGAGGATAAGGATGTGGACGTCGACATGTTCGATTACTACCCTGACAAGAAGGACGGTGAGCCGAAAAAGTCGCGTCTCTCCATCCTGCCAGCGCAGCCAGCCACAGAAACATCGAGGTCCAATGGTTCGTCACGCAAAACCGCACCAAGCGACGACACCAAGTCGAGCGCTTCACAGCCTGCCACGGCCAAGGATGCAACATCGGCTTCACTTTCCACTGCGGCGACAACAACCCCCGGTTCATCAAATGGCGCCCAGCCTTCTAAGAAGCGCAAGGCGGCTGCACAGTCGTCGGGACCAGCTTCAGGATCAGCTTCACAGGCGCCCTCCATTTCATCAGCAACGACTGTTGCAGGAGCTTCGAAGCGGCTCGCCGCGACATCCTCAGACGGTGTGGCCCAAAGGGGCTTCTCTTACTCGAACATGCTCACTTTCGCCAGCACGGAGGCATTTCCCAAGGATGGCGCCCTAGTGGCAGATGACGGCACGGTCTTGAGGCAAAACGGTGAGACAAACCAACACCACCCAACCCACACCACACCATTCCCATGCCCGCACCCCCCAACTCAAACCCACCCAGCCGCCCGACCATCCCCACGCAGAGCACTGGCGACATTTAGCTAACGCGACGCAGATACCGTCTATCTGGTCTGCGAACCAGCTGGTGAGCCTTACTATCTGGGTCGCATCATGGAGTTCCTGCATGCACAGAATGACAAGTCCAAACCTGTCGATGCGCTCAGACTCAATTGGTTCTACCGGCAAAAAGACATGGGGAAGCCCAAGGGCAACGACACGCGCCATGTCTGGGCCACGATGCATTCTGACATCAGCCCCTTGACCGCACTGCGCGGTAAATGCACCATCAAGCACAGAGCTGAAATCTCCAGCTTGCATGAGTATAAGAAAACGCCCGACTCGTTCTGGTTCGAAAAGCTGTACGACCGCTACATTCAGAAGAATTACGACTTGATCCCGACAGGCAAGATCGTGAATGTGCCTGAAAAAGTCAAAAAAGTACTCGACGAGTGCTGGAAGTTCGTTATTGTGGAGCAAGGTCGTGGCAAGGAGCTCACTAGCGCCGTCAAGTTGTGCAAGCGGTGCATTGGGTACTGCGCCAGGTAAGTAATCTCATTTCGGGGTAGGGGCGCATTGGTCTCATGGGCGACGTGACTGACAGGGATTAGTAACGACTCGGTCGATTGCGCTGTGTGCAAGCAGACGTATCACATGAACTGTGTGAGGCCACCACTGCTCAAGAAGCCGTCGCGAGGGTTCGCCTGGTCTTGTGCGGCCTGCAGTCGAGCACAGGAACGCAAGCTTGAGGCCCGCCACACGCCTAGCCACACGGACCCTCATGGTGATGCCGAGGAAGACGAAGTGTACGACGACGACGACGACGAGATGCAAGGCGCCGATACTGGTCGAACCAGCCCAGCGAATGATGACAGTCATCCACATGCCACCGAAGAGCAGATCCATCAGGCTAGCTTGTGGCCCTGGCGCTACCTGGGAATCCACTGCAAGCCTGAAGACGCTCTCGACTTTGATGATCGTATCTATCCTCGCGCCAGCACACGCATCGGGCCTAGGCACCAGGCGGCGGTACTGCCCTGGCCTGGGCAACCCGTCCAGTACATGAAGCCTCTAGAGGTGAAGAAGAGCGGAAAGAAAGACTCCAAAATGACGAAGGAGGCATTCGCAAACTACGAAGCAGAAAAGGCCCGCCGAGAGAAGCTGCCGAAATGGTTCCAGGACGAGCCAGCCGGCTACGTAGCCCGAGGCGGGGATCCCGACGACAGCGACAAGAATTCAACCGCGACGCTACTCTTTGCGCCCCCTTCCGCTAATGGGGACGATGAGTTAGCTGATGCCGAAATGGACAAGTACATGGCCAAGGCAGAAAAAATGGCACCGCGATTACCCACTCGTGCTGTGACTACCAACATGCTTGATATTGCCTCACAGGCATACTTCCGCAATTCCTACTCAGAGGAAGCGGCCCTCAAGGATCTTGCGGTCACAGAAAAGAAGGCTTACAAAGAGCCGGAGCTTACTGCCGCCGAGCAGCGCAAGTTCGAAGAGGCTGTGGGCAAGTACGGCTCTGAATTGCAGGCTGTCACGCGACACGTCAAGTCTGTACCGTATGGCATGATTGTCCGGCACTATTATGTTTGGAAGAAGACGAAGGCCGGCAAACAAATCTGGGGCAACTTCCAGAACCGTGCTGCGAAGAAGGAGCTCAAGAGGGCAGAAGCCGCGGCAACGAAGCTGCAAGATGATATTGCTGATGATGCTGATGACTCCGCATACGATGTCGAGAAGGCTGACGCGCAAAGGAAGTCGTTCGTGTGTAAATTTTGCCACACCAAGAACTCGCGACAATGGCGAAGGGCCCCGATGGTTTCCACTGGTGCGGTTGATAGCGGCGCCAAAACAAACCAGAAAGACAAAGGTGCTCAGGCGGTGCAGGCGCTTTGCCGTCGTTGTGCTGAGTTGTGGCGTCGCTACGCCATTCAATGGGAAGACCTGGAGGAAGTCGCCAGAAAGGTCACGCAGGCTGGTGGTAAGGCTTGGAAGAAGAAGCAAGATGAGGAGTTCCTCAAGGAGCTGATGTCTGCCAACGATTCCCTTTTCCCGCACGTTTCGCCCGAGCCAGTCAGCACTCCGACCTCAGGCTTGACGGCCAGTAACGGCACAAGCACTGGTGAACCACCGCGGAAGAAGCTCAAGGGCATGCCCGAGAAAGATATCGACCCAGCTGCCTCGGACTCTAGCGCGACACATCCACCTCCGAAGAGGAGGGAGAAACTTGTGGCCGACAAACCTGCTCCGCCTGCTCCACCCCCTGTGCCTGAAATCCCGAAGGCGAGGGTCATGCCCTGCGCCATCTGCGATCAGATGGAGCCCCTTGGAGACCAACATTTGTCCTGCAAGGAGTGTCGCATGACTGTACACCGCAACTGCTATGGAGTCACGGACAACCGCATCACAGGCAAATGGACTTGCGACATGTGCACCAATGACAAGAACCCGCAAGTCTCAACCGTATGTTACGTCTACCTGGAAATCAATGCCATCTCACTAACACACCAACAGCAATACAAGTGCGTGCTTTGTCCTGTGGACGTCAGAGAGCACGATTTTGTTGGCCCCCCCAAGGCTGTTCCGACACACAAGAAGAAGACGGAAAAAGAAAAGGAGCGAGAACGCATCGAACGAGAACAGGCCCAGAAAACTGCAGACTACTATCGCAAGAAACAGGAAGAGACACATCGACCTGTAAACCCCAGAGAGCCGCTGAAGCGTACATTCGACAACAACTGGGTCCATGTCACCTGCGCTGTCTGGACTCCTGAGATCAAGTTTGGCAAGGCTAAAGCGCTGGGCCCGGCAGAAGGCATTTCGTCTATTCCAAGAGGACGCTACAGTGAGGTTTGCCACGTGTGCAACACTCAAACTGGTGCTTGTGTCTCTTGCCATCTTTGCAAAGCCTCAGGTAAGCTGTCGTACCTATTGTTCATCTCGTAGAAATGCTAACATGGCGTCAGTACATGTCGAATGTGCGCGACTCGAAGGCTACCTCCTCGGCTTTGATATCAGCCCTGTCAAGGGATCTCGGCGTGATCAGCACAACATTGTCACAATCAACGGTGAAAGCGGTGCCATGTCAGCTACCATCTGGTGTCCGGAACACGTTCCCAGCAAGACTATCGTTCACCGCATGCATGACGTCGTCAATGACGCGGCCAGAACGCGCTCCAGCTCTACGTACAAACTGCAAGCAGGCCGATCTCACCCTAACCGGCACTGTCCGCAAAGCAATTTTATTACGAGCGCTGCCAAAGCAGGCGTTGCATCACCTCTCGCACAGCGCCGGGGCTCAACGACTGCCCCTGCGCCAAACGGCATACATCTGTTTGACGACCAACCACCAGTTAAGAAGAGTGGGGAGAAGGTCTGCATCACTTGTGGTGTCGATGTGAGTCCCAAATGGTGGCCTATCGAAAGCTCGGACGAAAGAGAGCTGGCCAACGGGCACTTTGGCACACTTGGCGCAGAAGCGCAGAAATTCATTGATCAAAGAAAGTCTCAATGTCACAAGTGTCGTAAGGCGCGGCGAAAACCAAACGCTCACCCTCCAAAGGACCGCACACCGCCTGGCGATCTCGGTCAGCGCTTCCCTCCGACTTTGCCTCTGGGACCTGCACAACTCGCGGCGCCACTCGTGAGGAGCCCGCCGCTGCCGCTGGCAGAGCCGAGGAGACAGAGCCTGACATCCTATCAGTGGGCCGGGCCAGGACCTGCCCCCGCCACAGCATCCCAACATGGGTCGCCGACAGCGCCACCACCTGTTACACCAACAGCGCTGCCTGTGCAAGTTGTTACGGTCCCGCCTCATCAGAACCATTCCGGACCTGCGATGCCATATGGGCCTCCAGGGCCGAGATATCCGGATTGGCACGGCAGACCGCCGGTACAGCATGCGTCGCCTCCTCGACAGATCAACGGAGGACCCCCGAGCCTCCAGCCCTCTGCGCTTGGCAATTTGTCATCATTGCGACCTCCGCCCGATGGCCATCCCCCCCAGGACCGCCCATCCCAACTCCAGCCACGAATGGACACCACGTGCAGCCGCTGCATAACGGTCTCCCGCCCTCCCCCAGACGCGTCGAGGGCCATCCTGCGCTGCCTCACGCTCCATACATGCACACTTTTCACCATGGGCACCCAGGGCACTCAGCGCCCAGTGGAGGACCGGTTCCACCCCGTGGTCCGGAGACTTTCTCGCAGAGCCTCATCGGCCAGCGGTCGCCGTTTGTCAACCCACATGGCAGCCCGCCAACATCACGCGATGGTCTTCTTGGCCGCGATGTGCGCGAGGGACCGGGGCCGCTGAGTGCGCCCAGCATGAGACCCAGCGAGCCCCCGAGGCCGGCGGGCGCCAGTACTAGCCCTTCGCTTCGGAACCTACTGTCTTAAAATATGCTTTCTGGGATACTGTTTTGATTCGACCTGGAACGGGCAACAGAACTATGAGTACTTGTTTATTTGAGGGCGTTGTATGAATGAGGTAGTGGAGGGAGGGAGGTAGGCTGTGAAGCTGGAGGCTTCAACCAAGGCACAGACGAGAAGAATTGGCTAGGCACATCAGTAGACGCGAGTGGTTTCCTTGCCGCCTGGCGAAGACAGACGGCGTTTTGTGTACCTTTGTGGGCAGGATGAGAAAGACAGCGCGGTCGCTTGAGCGCATGGTCCGAGTGACCTTAGCTAGACACGATGAGGAAATGTACAATTCACTTACGAGGACCTCTTGTGTACACACCACTGTTGAAGGGCTGACCAAGTCTGCACCCCAGAAGCGTATGCGAGCTGAACCTGCAACTGAAATGCACCGGGTCTTGGCATGTCTTTCCACTGTCGAACCTTCTGTCTCGACATTGTCTGCGAAGAATGCATGAGAACCTGATGTTGCGGTACATCATTACAAGCACCGAGACGAAGTGATGTGGGCCCCATTCTCATGTGGGTCGGCCTCAACGGCGTGGTATGGCTTTCGCATCGACACGTGATGTGAAGTGCCGCCCGGTACGGACAACCCTGTTCAGGGCCAAGTCTCAAGCCTCAAGCCGCAAACCTCAAGCATTTACCCTGGAACAAACTAAGCATCATTCGCTGTGGCTCCACAGCCCACAGCAAAGCTACGGCCAGTGACCAAGACAACAGAGACACAGCAATAAGTCCCCATCCAGCCACCCATGCCCTGTTCCCTATTCCCTATTCCATGCGCACTCGCACTGAAGAAGGTACCCGTAAACCCACTGCTGGGCCTTCGCTCAAGATTAACGCCAATGCCCCTCTGCCGATGAATGCATGATCGGGACCACTTTCGGTACACCGCCTTGACCGCCCCTCAATTGATACTCCGCCAGTCGTGCACTCGACAATCCGAGCTCTTGAGGCAACAAGTCTCCTTATAGTAGAGCCAGCGGTTGACGCTTCGGCCGAGACCTTTGTTTGAACCCACGGGCCGTTGCCCAGCGTTGCACAGGGCATCGAGAGACGACGTCGAGATTGTGGAGGTCGTATGAGCCACCCGATCCAGGCCTGAGGTATCCCTGAGGCGCACCAGCAGAGTGCGATCGTCCACTTAGCGCCCAGAAGAGGAGTACCTGGCACATAACTGCCCTGAACACCGATCGCTCACTGGGCTTTGGGCTTTGTTGCGCTCACTGGGCCCTGCTTCTTGCATTTCTGTCCGGTACGTACCCACACGCGGGAGCCAAGGTACAGTCGCACCCACCACTGAGGTGTCCGCCGTACCCGTCCTGCCAGATCCTTCGCCTTACCACAGTAGTACCTACCTTACCTTGGGTTCGTACCTGTGCACCTAATTGACCTGCTGCAGTGCTTGGTGTTGCCCCCCCCCCAAAGTCCCGCCAACTAACAAATCTCCCTGAACCACAGCCAGGACCTTCAAACGCCTCTGCCTGACCCTCCTCCCACCTACCACCTACCACTACCTACCTAACTACCTTCTACCACATACACATACGCATACCTCCTCCACCTCCACTGGCTGTTGTTGGCTGTTGACGTTGGACCACTTGATCACTGCTTCGATCGATTTTACGCTCGTTTGCACCGAGCAACCCTTTCTATTTCATCTGGAACTCCACAGTTTCATGTCGGCTGGACCAGAGCACCATCGAGCGACCGACCCTCCACCAACAGGCCGATCGCCTTACTTCACCACTTTCGACCCAACTCCAACTCCCTCAATCTGGCATTCGCAGCCCAACTTTTCGTTCCCAGACCATCACGCGACCACACCCTGACCATCTCTCATTCGAAATCGCCTTGACGGCATCCCACCAATTCAACAACACAACGTTCACCTCGATACGACCTGGTCACATTGCCAACCCCCTCCTTCGACCCCCTCCGAGGCTTGGCAGGCGAAGCCCAAGCTGATGCCGACACCGACCGGCACTCGTCCTGCGAATCCTCTGTCCGAGGCCCGAGGCTGACGAGTCATCGAGAACCATTTTCGCCGGCTGCGCAGACCGTGAGGATTGAACACGACGACAGCAGGCAGGACCGCGCTATGGCGTCAGCTCACGACAATGGGTCGGCTGACGACCGGTTCCACGGTCACCCTCCCGTCATGGCCCCCGGTTACCCCATGGACAACAGGCCCTGGCAGAATGGCGGGCGCAAGACCCCCGACAGCACCTACCACAATCACATTACAGAATCCCCGGGACCTAGAACACCTGGCATGAATGACAGACCGGAGCGGACTGAACGGACAGACCGATCACGAGACCGCGACGATACGAGAACGAGACCAAGTGGCGAGAGGCAGAGATCGAGGCAACGGAGTGGACGGTCGGCCAGCGGTCAGCAGAGGACATGCAAGAAGTGCGGCGAGCCCTTGACCGGTCAATTCGTGCGGGCCCTTGACGGAACCTTTCACTTGGACTGCTTCAAGTGCCGAGTAAGCGCTCCACCACAGCATCAGCGATGTCTTCATCTAACATAGGCCCCTCTTGATAGGATTGCGGTCAAATTGTGGCATCGAAGTTCTTCCCTGCCGATGAGGAGAATGGCGAGGGCCAATACCCGCTTTGTGAGACCGACTATTTCCGACGACTCGGATTGCTTTGCCACCAGTGCGGAGGCGCGCTTCGTGGCTCGTACATCACGGCGCTCGACCGCAAGTACCACGTGGACCACTTCACCTGTTCACTGTGCCCGACTGTCTTCGGCGCACAAGACAGCTATTACGAGCACGATGGCAACGTGTACTGCCATTACCACTACTCGACCCAGTTCGCGCAACAGTGCAATGGCTGTCAAACAGCCATTCTCAAGCAGTTTGTCGAGATTTTCCGAAATGGCCAAAACCAACACTGGCACCCCGAGTGCTACATGATTCACAAGTTTTGGAATGTACGGTTGTCGTCTTCGTCTGAAAAGGCAGATGTCCCAGTCGACACCGACGATCTCGTCGTACGCGACAACATTCGGCATCGAGAGGAGCAGATGGAGGAAAAAGTATATCGCATCTGGAGCGTCCTCTCTACATTTGAAGAGTCCTCTGCTGCGTGCATATCAGACATGCTGCTTCACGTCAGCAACGGCGCGTATGTGGATGGCGTCCTGGTGGCGAAGAAATTCATTTGCCATGTCGAGGTCCTGTTCACGGCCGCAGATAAGCTCGACTTGACCATGAAACAAGTCGATATCAAGGGTATGCCCCGATGCTGCAGGAAACGCCCTCTTCCTCACAAGGTTAGCTAATTCGACCCACCAGGTCTATCGTACGGTCGCGAAGCCAAACTCCTCTGCAAGAAGATTGTTTCCTTTTTCTCGCTGCTGTCGAAAACCCAGGACACTGGTGCCAGGAAACTCGGTGTCACGCAAGAGCTGCTCTCACTGGTCACCGGCCTTGCCCACTACCTCAAGCTTCTCATTCGAATTTGTCTGCAAGGCGCCTTGAGGCTCGAGCGCGAGTCCAACAGCCTTGATGGCATTTACCAGTTTTTGGATGACCTGAGCGACCTCGAGGCCATTAAGCTCGACGACAAATCCCTCCAGGTCATGACGGGAACATCTAAACTTTCAGCCAAGGACTCGGACCATTGCGCCCTCTGTGGTAGGTCTGTGGAGGACGAATGCGCACAAAACGAAGACAAGCGTTGGCACATCACCTGCGTCAAATGCACAAGGTGCGAGACGGATCTGGGTCGAAAATTGGAGGATGCTCGCTTCAATGCTTTTGATCAGAGTGTCTACTGCACCAACTGTACCGGCGCCAATTCTGACGACTTGCTTTCGTTCAAACACGTTTCGAAACTCCAGCAATACGTCTTCCTTCTCAAAGTGGCACTCGCACGATTGCTCGACATCTTGAAAACCAACGGTGCATTGCCACCGCAGGACGACGACACTCCCATGAACGGATATGTTCTTGGCGATGGCTCTTTGGCACCGGGCACCGGTGATGTCCCGTATCTCAGCTCGGACAGTCGGTCAAAATCTTATGCTGGCGATGCGCGCGAACATCAGCGAGAATCGTCCTACGAGAACACGCTTAACGATGTCCGCCGCCTGAGAAGCACTCGCCTGGATAAGCACTTGTCCAACAGCATTCGAAAGGCCCGGACCTCGCGTGTCATGGATGCAGACGGCAACGACATGCAGGCCTCAAATGGAGGTGCGCTCGGCGGTCCCGGCGGGCAGATCCCTGAAGACATAGCTGTCGGCGACGAAAGCACGAACGAGAGAATGTTTGGCCACCAGGACGCGCTCACTCTCGACGACATTCCAAGAATTGTGGCGGCCGAGCAGGTGAAGGAACAATACCAACCCGGACGCCAAGATTTATACCGTTCTCCGGCGACGGAGCCCTTCCTGGGACACCAGCGATCTCAGTCGATGGGGAGGCAAGCAGACACACGCGCCGGTGACCAACCACGAGGGGGCCGGAGGTTCTTTTCTGAGCTCTCAGCACTCGAGTATTTCAATGTGCGTCATTTAGCCGTGCTTCTGATGGCGCCTCATGTCGAGTCTGAGTTCACCATGGATGAGCTACTGAGCTTTATCGATGCGAAGAAGCCGGCCACCTTCTGGAAGAATATTGGCAAGGCATTCAAGAATGACCGGTCCAAGGCCGTCAAGAAGAAGGGCATTTTCGGCGTCCCGCTAGAAGTGATTATCGAAAAAGACGGCGCCGAGTCGACAGACGGTGTCGGTCCTGGAGCTTTGAAGATCCCTGCTGTCGTCGACGATATCATCAGGGCCATGAAGGGTATGGATTTGTCGGTGGAGGGGGTGTTCCGAAAGAACGGCAACATAAAGAAGTTGACAGACCTCGTTGAGAGGATTGATCGCGATGGATGCGACAGCATCAACCTAACAGAACAACCGGTCGTTCAGATTGCCGCTCTGCTCAAACGATACCTGCGCGAGCTCCCGGACCCGCTCCTCACCCACAAACTTTACCGCCTTTGGTTGACCATTTCCAAGATCACGGACGACAACAGGAGGATAAACTGTCTACATCTAAGTTGCTGCCTCCTGCCCAAAGCGCACCGTGACTGCATGGAAATCCTCTTCTGCTTCCTCAAGTGGGCAGGCTCTTTCCACCAAGTCGACGAGGAGGTTGGCTCTAGGATGGACATCAAGAACCTCTCGACTGTCATTGCGCCTAACATTCTCTACACAAACGCGAAGGCGCTAGCGCTGGACAGCGATCCAATGTTTGCCATCGTGGGAGTGGAGGATCTGATCAGCCATATCGAGGAGATGTGCTTGGTGAGTACCTGATCACCGAGTCTCGTAGGCGGCCAAGCTAACCAAGCTACACTAGGTCCCTGACGAAGTCATGGGTCTCATGGATGACCCATTCGTGATCGCGGGCGGCAATGCTGATCTCTCTACGAAGGAGATTTTGAAGCGCTACCAGGACCGCATGGGTCAGAAGCCTGCGGGCTTCGGAGGCGACATGGGCGAGATTCACAACCGTCAAGACAACTCGTCTCGTCCGCCACCAACACGAGTAGACACGGACCCCGGTGTCTACAAGCAAGCCAGCAGCGTTCGTCCGGTGATGGACACACCTGCGCCCTTTAACAACACGCAGATGCCGGGCACTCCCCCGCAGGTTTGGAGGGGGCCTGGCGACTCGGGACATCCTTCGCCGTACGGAAGCCAAGGGAATCAGTACGAGACGGCAGACGCGCAGCTTGAGCAGACCGAGGGCGGGCCCAAGAGAGAATGGCGCAACTCCGGTTGGGGACGACCGAATGGGGTTGGAGTTGGCGGCAATATCTGAGGTCTCACAACTGACGAGTCATCCTGGGGAACCGACGCTTCGGCTTTGAGAGCGAGCCTCAAGTGTATGACCGCGATGGGCGGGGGAGCGACGGTACGAGAAGCCGACGAATCACTGTCGGCGTCGTCGTGCAGCTCCTGTCGAGGAGACATCCTGGTTTGCTCGCAAGGGAATTCCATCTATTCGCATTGCATCACCAGCGGCGTTGTTAGCCTTTTTCTTCAGTTCAGTCCAGGACAAACCAAAAAACAGACCTGCCATTTCCGATTACCCGCGACCGAGCTTGTTTCCTTTGACCTCGTGTGGACCAACATGTTCAATCTGGCGGTACGGTGAATTTGCATTCCCTTCTTTTTGTGTCTTCTTGTTCTTCTGCCACTTGTGGCTTGCTCACGTGGCGCAATTCTTTGATCATATTGTGAGCCATGCGTCAGTCTGGGCCTCGCCCTTGTGAGTCTGGCGGTAGGCTGAGGGGAGGTTATTCGGGTTATTTCTACACTGCTTCTTCAAATTCTCCCCACCGCACCGCTGGGAGAGAGTCATAAGGCTTCACCCTTGTTTGTGTGTATTTGTGCTGGTTCTGTCGTGTCATGAGGGTGAACAGCAGGGAATCTGGGGGCGCTCTATGCGGCTTGTCTCGTTATGCTCAACGATTTACTCGGGTTGGAGGACGCAACTGCAAATTTGTTCTGCTTGGCAGACTCGAACACTTGTGCCCACATAGGTGGTGGTGAGATGATTTGAAAAGGCAACAGAGCATGAGTCCACAGGTGGTTGGATGAGCACAAGAGGTCCCAGAGATGTCTCCTTTTACCTATGAAGGACAGCACGTAGCCGCTGCCTAGGCAATTCTTTGCAATCGAGACGGATGGCCAACCGCTTTGCTGCCATGTTTCTAACACTTGCATGTTTGACTCCTCCTCAATCGAGCTCTCTACGAATGCAAAAGAAAAAGAGTCGTTATGAGTCGTTATGAGTCGTTATGAGTTGATTATGTAGTACTGTCCCATATCTCGTCGAAGAGGGTATAACAACGTAGACATGGTACTCTTCCAGCCGAGCCACTCTTCCTGCCATCCCCTGGGCAGGTTCCTTTCTCAAGCCCCCTCCCCCCCCCTTTTTTTTTCTCTCTACATACAACGCTTCTCTTGACATTCACATTGCCTCTACTCTCGCTCTTTCACATGCCCTCCTCATACGACCTTCTCGATGAGGCCCGCGGCTTCTTGGTCGAGGAACCACCTAACGCCCCTCTTGATGCCGTCGTCGAGGCTCACAATGGGCCGGTAGCCGAGCACGCGCTTGGCCTTGGTAATGTTGTAATAGCGCGTCATGCAGCTGAAGACGCAGCGCTGGCGCGTAAAGGTGGGCGTCTTGCCGAGGATGTGGAAGACGACCTCGGAGGCGAAGCCCAGGACGAGGCCGAGCTCGCGCGGGATGGCCCAGACGTGGCTCGTGCCCTTGTCGCTGCCGGCGGCGCGCCAGATGGCGCGCGTAAAGTCCCAGAAGTAGATGGGCGCGTCGTTGGTGACGATGAAGGCCTCGCCGTCGACGCGCTCGTGGTCGAGGGGCACGGTCGGGGCGCGGGCGGAGACGAGGAGCAGGCGGGCGGCGAGGAGGTGGGCGTGGGCGATGTTGGCGACGTGGGTAAAGTCGAAGAGGTTGTCGCCGTCGCCGATCTGGAAGCCGGTGCGGTTCTGGCGGTGGATGCGGATCATCTGGTGCGTCACCATGGTGTCGCCCTCGCCAAAGATGCCGGCGGGCCGGATGGCGGTCGTCAGGAGCTTGGAGTCTTCTTGGCGGTTGGCGGCGAGCACGAGCTGTTCGGCTTCGGCCTGCGGGTTTGGGTGGGTCAGTCAGACTGCTGCACCTCTTTTTTGATCCGTTGCAGTAGGAGGACTCGGGCAAAAGGAGAGGAAGCGAAAAAGCGGAAAGGATGCTGACCTTGGTCTCCGTGTAGTACTCGGTCTGGGCCTCGCCGCGGATCAGGGGCCAGCGCTCGTCGGCGTTGATCAGATCACTTTTGTTGTCGCTGATGACGCTGGCGGAGCTGGTGTAGACGAGGGCGGTGACGCCGGTCTGCTGGCAGGCGCGGATGACGGCGGCGGTGCCGTCCACGTTGACCTTCTTGAAGAGGTCGTTGGCGACGGCGGCGGCGGCGTGGGGGGCGGGACTGGCCGTGTGGATGACGACGTCGGGCTTGACATCCTCGAAGATGGAGAGCAGACGGTCGGCGTCCGAGATGTCGGCCTCGTGGTAGGCGACGCGGTCGGCGTCGGGACGGCGGTTGCGTTGGCACTTGAGGTCGATGACGGAGACGGCTGAGGCGCTCCAGAGAGGCTCGTCGAGGATCTGGTTGACGACATGGTGGCCGAGGAAGCCATTGCCTCCAATCACGAGAACACGGCCGAGATCACGGGCCTGCTGCTGCTGGGCGGCGGGCGCAGCGGCCGCTTTCGAGGGAACAGTCTTCTTCTCGGACATTGTGACTGCTTGTGGAAGGGGTGAGAGAGAGAGGTATTGGGAGAAAGGGGCGTGGGCGTGGGGATCGGGGGGCAGAGGACGCAGAGAAGTCGTCGTTGGCCTGGCGAGATCTGCGAGTCTGGGGTTGTCAGCACGTTGCTCTCGGGGCGAGATAGCACTGGGAGTACCAACAGGGGGTAAGTACAGGTACTTCAGGGTGCACGCGAACTGGCCGGTGTCAAAGAGTAGCTGTACAGCAATCTCCCTCGTCTGGCACCCCCTCTGGCACCCCACCAGCAGCGGGGATGCTCGGTGAAGGTTACAGGGGCTCGATGCCTATTCTTCGCCTCGAGGCGGTCCAATTGGGGAGTTTGGGGCAAAACTACGGGCGGCCTTGGGATGGCCCCAATGCCACCAATGGATGTCGAGTGCCAAGTGGAAGGCAGCGCTGCTTGGGTGCTCGTACTTTGTCAGTGGTTGCTTTGTATATCTTCTCCCAAGTTCATCAACATGTTCACCGATGCTCCGGGACCCTTTCCAGACAATGTTCTGCAGTGCAGGCGCCCGATTCTCCAGAGGGGCCAGCCCGCTTCCTAGCTGTGGGAACGAGCGAGCGACCCGCTACACCTCCCAGGTTTTAGGTACCTTACCTACCCAAGGTACCTAGGTAAGGTATTTAGGTACAAAGGCAACGAACACACACTGACCTGAGGTACTGCTTCTGCGCCTCGGCATGTACCTTGTCAGTGCCACGGCGGCGGCGAGGGGTCACCTGGACGACTTCACACAATATTGACTCTGCTGCACTGACATATTCTCACATCGAACCTTGCGTTCCCAGTTATTACCCACGCTTCGTCTGCATGCGGCCTTTTGGGCGCCTGCTTCGGTCATTTTTCAACAGCTATCCTGCTCACTTCTTGGCTATGCGCGCTTCCTTCACGCCGCATCGGCGCCATCTTCAGACGCCTGCGTGACCATGGCCCAAGCTGCCACGCCGGCGACGGACGACAATGTCGAGATCCTGGTCCACGTCGCGGCGCCAGCCATGAGCAAGGACGACGCCACGTATAGAGCGCTAGCAAATGCGTACCTCGCCTTTCATGCGGCGTCTCGTACATCCTTACCTGCGTGCACTTCGCAGCATGCGCCACAGGGTCCAACGACACCAGAGCCGCCGCCCTCGAAGACGCACGAACCGTTCGGCCCCTCCTTTGAATCCGCAGAGCTGTCGTTTGAAGGAGCATGGGATAATGCTGACTCCCCTCGGCTCGCAGCTTTGCCACAGAGCCAGCCTTACCAATCGTCACACCCAACAAGCGCCCATCGCACAGATCGCCGCCAGGCAACGATGCCGAGATGACAGATGCCGAGGACTCGTGGATCGCGCCGCCGAGTACCGTCCCAGACTCGATGCCCTGGAACGACCTTCGACTGCCAGAGCTCTCCTCTCCCAGCCGGACAATGGAACACTTTCTCGGTCTGCTGGAAGACTGCTCAGCACTCGACGACTCATCTCTCGACGATTCGGTCATGAGAACGAGTCCCATCCAACGTCGGGGGGGGATCGCACCGCAGATCAACAATGAGAGCAAGAGCGTTGGAGCCGCTGTGCCTCCGGTCGTGCGGCATGACCTGACCGGTCCTGTTTCCTGGGCTGAGGAGAATGGAGGCGATGATAGTATCATTGAAGAGACAATCCTCGAAGACACGACTGTCGAAGACACGACCGTCGAGGACACCTCCCTGTCCCCCCTAAAGCGAAAGCGCCCCCATCATTCGCGCGCCGGTTCCGATCCTCTCCCGAGCAAGCACGCAAGGCTGCCCTCTCCAGATCATCTGGCGCGAAGCTCGAGCGACACGGGGCTCGCGTCCCCCAGTCCACAGACCCCTGCCTATCCCTTGACGCTGCGCAACCCATCCGACTCAACCTTCATCTCGCTGCTCGAGATCGAAGCCCCGGCTCCCAAGACGTCCGCGGCATCCCTCTCGCCAGACGATCTGATCACCCCCAACATGCACCTCCTCATGCGCTCCTTTGGCCTCCCCCGGCGCCTCGACTCGGTCACCCGCCATCGTGCCCTCAAGCCGTTCGAGCGCGGGTACTGGCTCCTGGACTGCGCCGGCTGGGAACCGGGGCTCGCTCATCGGGCTTGGGGCTTCCTGTACAACTACATCACGGACGGATTCGCCGGCTGGGGCAGTCGTTGCGTGCGGGAGGCGGGGTGGCAATGGATCCGGTTCTGGAGCTTTGGCCATGTCGCCAATCACGTCTATCTCCTGCTCCACGTTGCTACCGAACGGGCGATCAAATCAGAGGAGATTGCTTGGGTTGACGGTGCTGGCGATGTCGTCCTGGTCACCAAGGGACACGCATAGCTGGGTGCTTGTTTCGATTATCGGTGTTTAGTTGGTGGTTCATTTGTTGGGATGGCGTCAGGTTTTGCATAGCGACGGGGGTTCTTGGATCATCCGCAGAGAGCATCAATGGGTTGGCATGAGTCGGTGGTCGGTTTTTGGCTACGTTTTCCGCTTTGGAGACGATGCAGGCGATGGACACATATCTCCGAAGAGTAATCCGCGAGATTCCAAAATATAGTGTCCCGAGGCTGGTATCGATGGTGCTACAGTGAAGATGAATTCGCCCGCCCACCACAAACAAGAAGGGGATACCATTCCTGCACATTAACACAAGCATAAGTACCACGCCGCTGCCGGCCTATCTTCCAGAGATCTACACATGGAGTACCGCAAAACCGGTCAAGTCGGTAACAAAAAACGGGTCTTTACATCGTTCACAATACACTACTACTCCAGACAGCATTATACAGTCACTCAAGCAGAGGGCGAGGCGGACTTCCTCTTGACCTCCTTGTTAAGCACGCTCGAGACCTCCCCTAGCGTAGCGCTCAAAGTCGGCCGTCGCGAGATCTTCGTACACCTATACATGGTCAGTGACGCTTCAGAGAGACTGTCGAGAAGAAATTGGCTAGGCCTACCTGTCGCTGCTCCTCGCTCAGTTGCTTGTACTCCTCGGCAATGGTGCGCGTGGCCTCGGTGACGCTGCCGCTAAAGTCACCGCTCGCCCAGCGCGCCTTGAAGAAGAGATTGTAGACGGTCGTGGGCCGCTTGGGCAGGCGCTCGTCGCGGATGGGGAAGCGGTGCGTGACACCCCTGCCCTTGTTCACCTTGCGACGCAGCACGTTGCGCGCATTGTTGGCGGCGACAATCTCGGCGGGCGTGTGGCTCTCGACCCAGGCCTTGTAGGCGGCGTTGTTGGCGACCTTGTTCTTCTCGGCGAGGTCCTTGAGGCGCTGGTTTGACGTCAGTCTCTATACACACATATACACACACACACACGTAAAGTACGCCTGCCAGTGCGTCGCCTCAAGAGAGAAACAAACATATGGCAGCGGGAGGGGCCAGGGGCTTGCTTACCTCAGTCTCGGCAGCGTCCAAAAGTCTGTACTCCTCGGCCAGCTGCTTCGAGCGCTCGCCGAGGCTGGCCTCGCCAGACTTGATGTTCTGGGTCGTGAAGAGGGTCCAGACCGTCTCGGGCAGCTTCTTCGGCTCCTTGAGGAGAGCAATCTTCTTCAGTTCGCGGACCTCCTGAGCGAACTTCACCTCAAAAGCGAACCTCCTTCTAGGCCTTCTTGACCTTCTCGGGTTGCGTTTTGACGGCAGCCTTCTTCTTCTTCTTCGGTGCCGCCTCCTTCATTGCCGGCTTGGTGGTCTTCTTCGCCTTCTTCACGGGCTTCTCTGCGCCTTCGTCGACCTTGTTCGCGGGCAGGCGGGCCCAGTGTGTCGTCGTGAAGGTGCGGCCGGGGATGCGGGAGGCAATTGGGGCCGCACGGCAGAGGGTGCTGCTGGGCGCGGCGCGGATGGCCAGGCGCTGGATGGCGACGCGACCGATGGCGGTCAACATGGTTGGCGAGGCTGGATTGGAATGGGAGGAGCTGTAATGATCACGTCGGAGGAGGGCCGGCAGGTTGTCGAAGTACTCAGAGCTGGGGGGAGAGGCAGAGTGCGGATATGAAACCGGTAGTCGTCGTGGGTGGTCGTGTGGTGCATGACAGGAATGTGTTGATAGGTTCACGCAGGTGTGGAAACATGTTTACCTACCTACCTAGGTACCTTACCTAGGTACCTTGCCTTACTGGCCCAGGCACCGAGGGCGCTACCTCCTCCCTACCTACTAGGTACCTTACGCCCTACTTGCGTTAGTGACCCCCTCGACCCCCCCCCCCTGACGAGAGCGCATTCTCCAATGGGCTGCACGCACAGACCGCTGTGAGAAGAGAACCACCTCCTTTTGGGACCCTTTCGTTATGCATCAGTCACAAGTCGACATGAGTGAGCCCGCCATTGGGAATAGCTCCAATGTTCCGGGTTTGGTTACGGAGGGGAACACGGCGCAGATCTTGAGCATGAAAGTAGGTGAAGGGTATGTTCTGTCGGTGAGATCAAGGTCAAGCTGCCGTCTGGATCCGTGTACAGGTCTCAATCAAGTGGATGATAAGTACCTAATATGCCGACCAACACAGGGCAGGCACAGTGACCATCCTTTGTTGCCCAACGATCCCCAGAGCTGTACCCCCTCTCTTCACAACCCTAAATGAGATCGTGAAAAAGCAGAGGCTGCGCTGCGCGATACATTCCAGGCAGCAAAAAGACAAATCAGGCCCCGACCAATCGACCTGTCAAGTTCAGCAGAGGTAAATTGTCTTGCGTTGTCTGTAAATGCGCTGAATCCCCAGGGGGTATGGTACGCTTGGTACAGAGCCCTCTGCGACCCTCTCAAGTGCGACCATCATAGGAGCTGTGTCACTGCTTGGAGACGAACAAGTGTTTGGGTGGGACAAAAAGAAGTTGAACACCGCCAGAACATCAATGTCATTGCGCAGTGGCAGTGTGCTCATTTCAAATCGTTTAAAGGTCGGCCTGCGTAGGCCACCATCGACAGCTCCAGCACATCACACCACACCAGCAGAGAGTCTAGTATACTATAGTACGACCTTCATCCCAGACCTCACTCTGATTGATTCCCAAGGACGGCTGAAGGACAGAGTTGGCGGCCAATGTCGTTACCCGTATATCTAGTGGAGAGTATCGGCGCGCCGAACAACCACCATGCCATCTTCGTCCTAACGAACGAAAAAGATGGATCTGGCTACAAATTCCATGTCAACGGAAGCATCCAGCTCGGTATGCTGTACGAGGCCACCGAGCATCACAGGCCGGAGGACTCGCCCGAGTACCTGGGCAAGTCGTGTCTTGGGTGGGTATATGTGACCGACTACCCTCGCGTCAACGACATCTGCACCAATGTACCGCCACCGAGGAAGCAGTTTCATGGAGCCAAAAGGTTGTACCCGAAGGAGCCCCTGAGACGCTGCCAGGAATGGGTCAAGGAGGCGACTCAGGCGTTGGAGAGCAATGGAGTTTTACACAGATCAAGCCCCATCGTTGAAGCTCCTTGAGATATCCCGACAATCCCCCGTTGAGAAGCATCGGGCTAGGATATAGGGTTCCGATCTCTACCACGGTTATGGTAGTGAAATCTTTAATGAGTAGCCCAAGCACAGTGCTCTTCTACGCCACTCAGGAGAGAAACTAGAGGGGAGGCCAAGCAGAGGCAGAACGTAGAGGAAGCAACCGAACTCACCACCAGACTGATGCCTAAGATAAAAACGGGAGAGAAAATGAGGAAAAGCGTCTTTCTTAGTTATATTTCCTGAATCCGTTGCTTTCCGTGACTTGTAGAATCAACAAGACTGGCGTCATGGAAGATTTTCTTTGCGCCCCTTCTGCTATAGCCGAGGCGGAATCGGCTCTCGAGATGCTGGACTCCAGATCTCCAAACTTCCCGTGATGTTCGACCCGCATACTTGACTTGTGATCTCACCAGGAAATGTATTGACAGCCTTCGTACACGACAATCACGACGGTCTGAGCCCACCAACTAGGTGTTCGTGTACGACCGTCAGCGAAGTGAATAGGTTATCTGTGGGGGGCGTGAAGTTGGGCTCTGTCAAGGGGTTGTTTCGCAACCAGTATGGGCGGTATACGTACTAGCTCATTGAGAACCGAAGCTTCCCATTGGGTGTTGTACCTCCCTGGCCATAAGGCAGGTAGGTGCACACACCCTGTCCGATCCCCATCCTCAGGCTGCCAATCTGTACGTACTCCGCCTAGCTGGCCAGAGGCACCAACGAGACGCGAAGCTCTACAATGGACTGGGCTGGAGCTCAACCTCGCTGCCGACCTACATCACGATCAATCCATCATCGCAACCTGCCCACCATCGCAACCATCGACCACCGCCCAACCCACCACACCTTCCACCGGTTGATCCCATCTAAACGACGAGCCAGTCTGTTCCCCGCACATACACATCATGGATCACCGTCCGCAAGCTTGGGGCCGTGTACGTCCTGCTCCTCCTTTGCCAACCATCCCGGCGACACCTCAAGTCCATGTGGTTTACTGACGCTCCCCGCTCCAGCCCAGAGATGACGTCTACGGCGCCTACGATGCCTCCCACATGAACCCTAATGGCCCCAACCAGGCCACTCAGTCGCCCATTGTCACGGGCACCTCCGTCATCGCCATCAAGTACAGCGAGGGCGTCGTCATCGCCGCCGACAACCTTGCGTCCTACGGCTCTCTCGCCCGCTTCACCAACGTCAAGCGACTGCGGACCTTCGCCGAGTCGACCGTCATCGGCTTCGGCGGCGACGTCTCCGACATGCAGTACCTCGACCGCCACCTTACCTCGCTCGCCATCAACGAGTCCTACGGCAGCCCCGCCATCACCGCCTCGGCTGACACGCTCGACGGCGATGCCGACAAGGCCCGCCCCCGCCTCAACGCCGCCAACCTGCACAAGTACCTCGCCAAGCTCTTCTACGCCCGCCGCACCAAGTTCGACCCCCTCTGGAACCACGTGCTCGTCGCCGGCGTCGACGACGACGACAAGCCCTTCCTCGCCGCCGCCGACCTCCTCGGCACCACCTTCTCCGCTCCGTCCCTCGCCACCGGCTTCGGCAGCATGCTCGCTCAGCCCATCATGCGCCGGAGCGCCCCCGACGAGGAGTCCGCCGCCAAGCTCACCCGCCAGCAGGCCGAGGACGTCATCAAGGAGTGCATGAAGGTCCTCTACTACCGCGACGCCCGCTCCCTCGACTCGTACAGCATCGCCGTCGTCACCAAGGACGGCGTTGAGCTCAAGGAGGACGAGAAGCTGGAGAAGCAGAGCTGGGCTTTTGCCGAAAAGATCAGGGGCTATGGCACGCAGACGGTGTAGAGGGGCGACATGCGCAAGACGAGATCAAGTTGATGTACCGAGTCCAGAGAGGCCGGACCGGCGTTGTACCACTAGACGGAATTCAATGAAATGGTTGCACGATGAATGACTTGGCTACCTGGCAGAATACTTTGTGTGTGACCGAACCGTGTCTAAAACACGACGTGGTCCGCCTACATGGCTTGGCCCCGCCGTTCAGCGTTGCCCTGGTCTTATTTGTCGAATGGGCCGTTATTAGAGACCTACGATGAAACATCATGTTCATGACCAAGGCACCAATCACATACACACCGACTATGACGAACAAACGTGTATCTAAAAAACATCAATTCGCTATACTCAATCGACCATATCCTTTCGTGACGTTCCTTTCCTCTAGTACATGCTGAACATGGCCAGCATTCGCGCCGCCTGACATTACCTCCCATCGAAGGAACTCATCCAAACGTGAGAGAAATAAGGGCCGGCCCTTCCCCCGTAATCCCATATTTTACGTCCTCCAACTCCAATTTGGCTGAAGCGACAGGCAGAGAAAAAAATCATGAGTCGCAGCAAATGTATCGCGACGATGCTACCTCACATTGCTCTGCTTACTCGACAGTGACCGACTTGGCCAGGTTGCGAGGGAAATCGACGTTGAGACCCTCACCGACGGCGAGCCAGTAGGCAATCAGCTGGAGGGGAATGACGTTCAGAATACCCTGCAGGGCATCGACGGTCTTGGGGATCTCAATCTTCTGAGCCTGGCTGGCACTGAACTCCTCGTCGTTGGGGTTGCAAATGACGATGGGCTTGCCGCTGCGAGCAACGACTAGTGCACAAGTTAGCTGACAGTCTCAAACGGAGGATAACGGTAGTATACATACCCTGCTGGTAGGCGTTGAGAGACTTGGTGAAGATCTCATCACGGGTAAGAATCATGATGATGGGAAGGTTCTCGTCGACTAGAGCCAGCACACCGTGCTTCAGCTCACCAGACATGACAGCCTCGCAGTGAAGGTAGGAGATTTCCTTGATCTTCAGCGCACCCTCGAGAGCAGTGGAGAACTGGCTGCCACGGCCCAACAGGAGAAGTGACTTCTGGTTCTTGAATGTCTTGGCACAGAGCTCCTTGATGGCCTGGTCCTGGGTAAGGATGTCCTTGATCTGGTCGCTGATGTGGGAGAGACCCTCGATAATCTCCTCACGACGCTTCTGCTTGGAGGCACGGTCTTCGCTGAGAGACAGCGCGAACATGACCATGGCGATGAACTGCGAGGTGTAGGCCTTAGTAGAAGCAACACCGATCTCGGGGCCGGCATTAACGTGCACACCGCAGTGGGTGAGGAGGGAGATGGAGGAGCCAACGACGTTAACAATACCGACGGTCAGAGCACCGCGCTCGAGGCAGTAGCGCAGGGCCATGAGCGAGTCAGCCGTCTCGCCAGACTGGGAGACGAAGACGCAAGTGTCGTCACGGAAGACGGGGGCCTGTCTGTCAAGGAAGTCGGAGGCCAGCTCAACGGCAATCGGGATCTCAGCAAGCTCTTCGAAGATACCACGGACAGCCATGCAAGAGTGATAGCTGGTGCCGCAAGCAATGAAGATGATGCGACGGCAGCGGCGGATGGTCGAGATGTACGAGCGCAGGCCACCAAGAGTGACAGTCTTGTTAGCAACATCGAGACGGCCACGCATAGTGTTGACCACGGACTCGGGCTGCTCGAAGATCTCCTTCTGCATGAAGTGGTCGAACTTGCCCTTCATGATCTCCTGGAGCTCAAGCTCGAGGGTCTGAATAGTACGGACGTTGGAGCTGCCGTCAGCCTTCTTGAGGCGGTGGATGTTCAGCGAGCCCTCGTGGATGTGGGCAATGTCGTCATCCTCAAGGTACATGACCTTCTTGGTGTGCTCAACAATAGCGGAAGGGTCCGAAGAGAGGAAGAACTCGGTCGGCATGGGCATGCCATCGTCGGTCATGAAAGCACGTGACTGAGAACGGTGTAGTAGGGACTTGTCAGGGGCAGCCAGCAGAGAAGTAGGGTTTAGCAGGTCGTTCTGCTTCTTGAGGGCGACATTCTGGGAAGCCTCCTCGGCGGGGAGGGCGGTGTTCTCGTCGGAGTACTCAACATCGACGAAGTCGACCTTCATGCGGCGCTGAGTCTTGACGCCGATAACGAGAGGAGAACCCTTGCGAGCGGCAACAACCTCGTGGGGGTAGTGAACGGACTTGATCAGCAGACCGTAAGCACCCTCAAGCTCGGAGATGACAGCCTTGGTGAGATCGGTGAAAGCCGACGTTAGGGTGCTGGTCGTACAGGTACCTCGCCAGCTTTGGCGATGCACTCGGTGTCTTGTCTCGGTCTCGAACTTGAAGCCCTTTGCTGCTGGAGTAGCGTCCTCAGCTCCTTTGTAGTTGTGATGATACCATGTGGACGACGGTGAACTCCCAAGTGGGGTCGGATCTGCAGCGGGAAGGCAAAAGTCAGCTTGATGTGTGGGTGGAATGGCAATGGCCCTAGTCATTGGGGCGACGCATGGCTTGAGCCGCGCGCGGGCTTTTACTCGGTCGAGCTCGGATCGCAGCTCGAATCAAATTCAGGTGCAGACGTACCGGTGGGGGTGGCAGTTCAGGCGAGAAGGAGGGCCGTGGGTAGCCCATCGAGTGTGGGCAATACCAGCGTGAGAGTCGAAGATCTGGGTCAGGTCGGGCTTGGACTCCTCAATGAGCTGCTTGAGCTTAGCGACCTTGCCAACCTCCTTGTAGGCGAAGACCTCGTTCTTCTTGTCGCCATCGACGGCTAGACCGGCTGAATCATAGCCACGGTACTCAAGGCGAGAAAGACCTGAAAGCGAAGAGTGCGTTAGTATGAAATGGCGGGGCCAGTGTGATGTGTGTTGCCGAGGAGACTAGGAGGCGGGGGCAGGGGGAGCACAGCAGTCGTAAAGCCGTGCTAGGCTTTTCAGATTGCTTCGTCTCAGCGTGTCAGGAGCTGCTTACCGTTGATCAAAGTGTCTACGATGAACTTGCGGTCCTTCTCCACCAGGTAGTTGACGTAACCGAAAATGCCACTGTTGGAAACGTATCGTAGTCAGCTTCTGGTGGTCAAGACAGCCCAATGGATTCCCATCCGCAGAGCTTCCCCCGGCGAAATTCCAGCACCCAGGCCGTACAGTGACAACCTGGACGCCCAAAGGCCCCGGCAGCCGCTCCGAAACTCTGTAATAGTGCAAGAAGGCGAGGCAGAGCTGGTACATACCACATGTTGACAGAGACTGAAGAGGTAATGTGGGAAAGATAGTAGGGGAAAGAGAGACGCAAGAGTCGCTGATCAGTGCCGGAACGAGGGTGGAGTTCTGTAGGCAAGCGGTTCGGGTATCAAGGAGGAGATTCGGCGTCTGGAGAGGGGTAGAGCAGGTGGAATAGCGAGAGCAGGAGAAGACGAGAGGAGAGAAAGAAGAGGTCAATGGAGGGGGAATAGGAGGGAGCTGGGAGAGCTTTATGTGGCCAAGGTCTCAGATGGACTAGGGGAGTAGCGTCTCGAGCTGCTTGGTGGGTGTTGGGTGTTTCTCTGAGGCAGTGACGAGTGGGCAAGGTACGACAAGGCAGTGGAGGGGCAGGGGGGGCCACCTTCTCAGAACCGCGCATGGGCGCGCAGGCGTGGCTGCCAGGGTTGCTGAGTCTCCGGTAGGCGGCTGCCAGGTTGCTCCTGCGACTCGCACGCAACCCAAGTGGAGGCGGTACTCAGGTACCTCCAGCATCCATCATCTTGACCATCTCACCTTGGTCCATCGGAGCGGTGTGGTCTGCGCATTTCAATGCTGCCACTCAAGGCATCTGTCTTGTTTCACGGGCAAAACCAACAGACCTGGCGCGGGACAACAGACGGTGCAAGGACCAAGCCCACACAATCCGATGGTGGGGGTAATAAACACATGGCCAGGACCCTCAATTCTGTCAACACTGAGACGCATGGGAATGCCCATTTACCAGCCTCTAACAGCAACATCAGTCTCACTTCATGTTCCGGTTTTCTTTCACATGCGATCAGGTCAGCAAGCAAGTACTGAGATCTAGATTCATGAAGTCACATCAAGGAGAAACATCTTTCAGAATCCGGAAGTCCACCCATGAGCTGGTGTGAGACGGTCTGCATTTCTTGCCCGTTTTCTACCCGTTTGCAGACATCCAACAAAACTAGCTGAACCACCATTCAACCCCTCGTTTCTTCTGCTAGCTGCTGCTTCTGCATATGGTCGAGCCGGCGACAGACAACACATCATCTGTCAGCGGTTTGCCTTGGTCGCAATGCACTGCATTGCAACATTGCCGCTCCGACCACATCACTCATGATACCTGACACCAGATCATTCTAGCGTCCGACCACGATCTCTACACGAACTCGCCCGTCGTCTCTGGCAACAACAGGTGGAGGGGCAACAAACATGGCAGCGGCGAATGCAACCCTACACACTACCGGCCGGCTAGCAAGGCGAGAAACCTAGCTTAACAACAACCCCTGGCCAGACCGATGGAGTGCTCTCGAAAACACGCAGCCCGCTAAGACGGAGCCGGTTAGCGTCACTGCCTTCTGTGGCAGGGAGCATCGCTTTTGTAACGCGCCACTCGCCGCTCACTATGCCCCGTCGAGCCCGCCAGCCCAATCGTCATCCATAATGATCTCCAGCTTATTGAGATGCTCCCGCAGAGACTTTTATCTGCGACACAGATGCATCCCAGTGCGGCCAGCTGGGCATGTCCGTACATGACACAGCCGACATTCGAGGAGACGTAGGGTCCTCAAAATTACCCATCTCTCTCCAAAATATCACTCGTGTCCAGAGAGCTCCTCCACAAAATCAGATGATAATCGACATCGCAACCTGGAGATCGGTCCCCTCCCCAGCGTTTCATCGCATACATCATCGCGACCCCACCTCCACTTCGTATTGCCCTGGTACGCTCTGCCTGACCTCTCGTCCCGCAAAAAACACCACATGTCGTGTCATGCTGTTGACCCTGTTTTTCCCCGATACTACCATTTCGCCGGTTTGGGCGCTAATCCGGTTGAGATCGACGGCACTTCCGAGTCTTTGTAGCGCCGCCGCGGAACCAGCTCAGGTACGAAGTGAGGGCAAAGCTCCAGTCTGGCCTAGCCACCGTCCGGCTGGGTGCGGTTGCGGAGCACGAGGTGCAGCCTAGGTGTACAGCCTCAGCGGAAATGTGGGAGCTATTGCCCCCCATACGCACTGGGCATCCCCGCCAACACACCAATAATAGCATCAGCCCGGATCTCGCCAGGAACCCCTAAATCGCTGCGCCTTTCTTCGCCAATACAGACATGCACCCTCGTTCTTGGTTTTATTTTCGGGTATCATTGAGACGCAGATATTTGGCCTTCAGTGAGACTGGGCGCCGCCACGTATCCACCACATGTGCAAGTGGAACGCCGCGGTTGTCCCACACATCTTGTTGCGAAGCACAACATGCTGCGAGGTCCAAAGCTGCCCCTTTTTTCGCGACGGGGTCCCCTTGCTGAGGCTGAGCGCTGCCGTGCCTAGGTATGCGACCAAGCCTAGCTTTCTCTGATGTCAGCACATGGGCGATGAACGTCCAGGCAAGCAAGGCTGACCCGACCAAATGTGATGTGCGTACGGCAGTGTGGAATCCTGAACCCTGGGATGGGTTGGGACGCCTTCCCTGGTACCTAGGTATCCATGGCTGGCGCGCGCAGGTCTTGCAGTGACGCAAACTGCTTTAGACGTCACCGTTGCATTTGTAGTCCGTATTCAAGCTTAAACATGTGGAGCTTCCTGACTTACGCAAGGCTGTTACAATAATACGTAGAGCCATGCACGATCTGCTATTAATCCACGTTTACAGGTGCCATCCATTGCGGCTGCAGGTGACAAAATCAACTTCGGCTTGTTCAGCCCGTTATGTTTCCTTTTCCAGTGCACCAAACCCAGTATATTCGGGTCCGACCGCCCAGAGACGGTATAACGTGAGATGTCTAGTGGTAAGCAGACTGTCGCTGAACCTCGCTGCGCCAGCAATCGCTACATATTCCCTGCCCGAGCCAACACATTTCCGTTGGAGGTCCCGGTTGTGATAATGGGTATTGTGACCCTGGTTACAACTCTGAACCTTACAAGCCCTGGTCCTTCGAGATGACTAACTATCGTCATCCCAGTCTAGAGCTCTGGTACTCAAGCTTGCCCTCGAGCTTCTCGACTCGGCAACCTTGCGAACGGCTTTGTTGAAATCGTCTTTGGCTGATGGCATCACGGGTAGTCCTTGATAGCGAAGAGGCCACTGTAAAACTAATCGTTAGTTGTGTGTTGTTTGAAAGGATGCGGGAAAAAACATGAACGGGGCAGGAAAAAACAAGTAGAAAAAAGAAAAGATGATTCAACATACGCTTCTGTAACAACATTGCGCAGATCAGCACCGTTCAGTCCATCGCTCATCTTGACTACGCTCTCAAAATCAATCTCGCCATCGGTGATGACACCGGCAGCGTGGATCTTGAGAATCTCCAGTCGCCCAACCTCGTTAGGCAGAGGAATCTCAATCTTACGATCGAGACGGCCGGCACGGAGAAGAGCGGGGTCGAGGGTATCGGGTCGGTTGGTGGCCATGATGATCTTTGTCTTGCCAAGGTAATCAAAACCGTCGAGTTGGTTGAGCAGCTCCATGAGCGTCCGCTGGATTTCACGATCCGCACTGGTACCCTCAGAGAATCTTCGACCACCAATGGCGTCAATCTCGTCCATGAAGATGATGCAGGGTTCATGCTCCTTTGCGTAGCCGAACATTTCTCGAATCAAACGGGCTGACTCTCCGATGTACTTATCGACGATGGCAGAGGAAACGACTATGTTGACTGTTATTCGCTGCATCGCGCCACGATACTCTGGGAAGTAGACTTACTCTTCAGGAAGTTTGTCTCGAGACTAGATGCAACAGCACGTGCCAGAAGGGTCTTTCCGGTACCAGGGGGGCCGTATAGGAGGACGCCCTTGGGGGGCTTGATACCAACACGCAGGAACAGCTCGGGGTTTTTCAGTGGCAGCTCAATAACCTCGCGGAGTTCGCGAATCTGATCGTTCAGGCCACCAATACCGGCAAAGTTTACCTGGCCGGGATCCTCAAGGGACATGTTGTAGACGAGAGGGTCGACTTCGCGAGGGAGCATGCGCATGATGGTGAGTGTTGTCATGTCGAGGGCGACGCGTGTTCCCTGCTTCAGCTTCTCCTTGTCGAGCTTCGTTCGGCAGCCGACCACATACCGTGGCCCAGAGGAGGCCTTGACGATGACTTTGAGGCAGAGGCTTGGTCAGCGCATGTCGGTGTTTGAAATGGAACAACGAGAACAGGCAACGTACATCGCTCATCTGGTAGCTGTTTGAGGACTTCACCGATAATCTGGCCTACACTTTGCAACGCCTTGATGGAGTCTTCGGTGCGGTCAAACTCCTTCTGTAGTTCCCTAATCTCCAGGCGCAAGTCCTTCAACTTCGTCTCGAGCTCCCTCGACTTGAGGAGCTCGGATCGGTAGGCATCGAGGGCCTGCTGGCGTTCCTCCTCGGACGACATGACGGGCTGGAGATGTCCTGGACTTTTGATAGCAATGAACGTATCAACGGCGCTGTGGGGTTGTGTGATGTGTTTGTTGCGGATGGTCGGTGGTGTATCGCAGGCGGTTTGGTGTGACGGATTAGAGGCAAGGCAGCTACAGCATGTACGTAGCTCTCCGTTGTTCGAATCCAGGAGCAATCGCGTTAGTGGCATACGCTTAGCCGCGTTACGCGACAGTCGTCTCTTGATTGGCGGGTGCTGACAAATAATGACCCGTTTCTAATTGATGCAGGCGCTCGTGTACCACGACCATCGCTAGAACACCATGACGTTAGGTACCTTACCTAGGTAGTTAGGGACCAATATGGTACAAGTGCTGCCATACTCATTGACGACGCTGTACTGTGACCCAAGCTTCGTTCTCGACATTTAACACATAAGTTGACGCCAAGTCTTCAATTTGTGGCTTCTCTTATATACATATGTCCTAACTTCCGTCGCTGGACACCACCTCTTGCTCGAGATTGAGGCAGCTGTGGCGCTACTTGCCGGATTGTCCAAAATATATCGCAGCGCAGTGCTCACACAATGCCTCCAAAGTGTCGACAGGAAAAGGTGCTTTCCTTGCTCTCTATCAGTGATGTCATTATTTCCTAGAATACAGTATTCAGCCTGGGTTCTTACTTTATTGCGTCGTGGAAGTCTTACTGCATCCACAATTCATACGCCAGATACCGCACCCGGCAGAGCTACGGGTTATCGCTCTATCCCCCAGAATGTGCTTTGTAAACCAGGCCTGATTGTCATCTACTGGTTACTTTTCAGTCACACCTGGACTCTGCTGTGGTGCATGGTTCTTAATGCGTAAGACCCAAAAATGACTGTCTGACCTGAACAACAAAGATACCATACGTACATGACAGTGGTCGACTTGGCCCATAAGCTTACTGACATGGTGGGAACAGTTTCACACGAAATATGGTACACCTTGCACTTGCGGCTAATCCGATTGAGAACCGCGCAGATGCTGGCACCCGGCATTCAATCCAGCTACTCAACCGGAGACATTTGTCACTTTGAGCAAGCTAGCATGCGCACATCGCGATGGCCTGGATGGCAGCTTTCAAGACGACGCTCAAAGTCACGGCGTCCCACCGCGGCCAATACGACTCAAGACCAAAAGTTCAGATACTCAGAGTTGATCCTTGAGAATCGCAGCACACGTGTCGTTTGTGTGCCAGTCTCCAAGACTGCCTCCACCGGAAGGACGAGCCATCCCCTCGTCATTCTCAGCTATCTAGCCTATCTTTGATTGACCTTGAAGTTGATTCTGCATGCAAACAACGACTACGTACGACCAGAGGGTACGCGCAAGAATCTCGGCATATCCAGTGGCATCATAGAAGGCAAATACAGGCATTCGTGAAAATGCTTAGTCTTACTACGGGAAAATGAGGTAGGACTCTCCAAATGCTAAATCGTTAGGTGATAAGGTGAGGCTCCAAACTAATTAACATGAGTGTTCGATATCCAAGCAGTAAACGCCTCGTTAACTCCAGGGTATCCGGAAAAAGGTCATACAATCATGGCCGTTTTGCAGGCCTCAGCTGAAAATCATCAGGCACTGCCGCTGTCCTGTGTTGCCGCTATCACCCCTCAGCTTGCTAGTTCTGTTGAGATCTCCTCCCTCACCCTTTTGCACCACGCCCAAATGGCTGTCTCGAGTCCGATCCAGACATCAGGAGTACTGTTGTAGACTATGCCGAGAGCATCGATTTTGAGTGGCACCTCCCACCTGAGTTCCGCTGCCTTAATCCAATATCGAAGATTATCAGCGCAACGGTACGGCTTTTCCGTGTCCTCATGAAAGGTAGTGATGCCGCCGAATCGGCGGCTCGACTTCTTGACGGCAGCGTTATGAAGCTTCACAAGACGAAGCCCATTCTGCATGCTTCTGAGAAAAGGAGTAGGGAGATCGCCAGACGCTAAACCCGTCGATGGCGTATATTCCGGGAGTGGTCCGAGGCCCAAGCCAACTTCAAGAGAAGCCATAAAAGAGAGCTCCCGTTCCACTTCCTTTCCAGCCCAGTCACCATGGAGCCAAGTCCAAGTGGCTTGCTCGGCACGCTCGGCCTCCTCCATATCATGCTCCTGCTGAAGCATGGCGAAGAGGCCTTGGATCCACCTGTCGAGAATGTCAAGCTCTTCGTCACGCATACCTCCAGCCCATCGACGAGTTGCCATCTGCTTCAGCGTTTCCATGACGGAAAATATGTCGGCGCGGATCTGGCGCTCGGGTTTAATCGCGTCAAGGCGTTCTGGCTGTTCGTGTGCAGTGTAGTACATCTTGGCGGCGCGAATAGCGAGCGTCATGACGTCGAGAATGTGCATCCCCTGGATTTCGAACCAACCATGGGTCTTGGAGGATTTCTGGCGAGTATGACCGCCTGCTGGATTCCTAACCTCAATGGTGGGAGTTTCGGCGAAGGGATGCTCTTGCTCCTCCGCCGAGTCTTGACGTGCCCTCGCTTCCTTGAGAGATACTGCTGCTTTCTCAAGTGAACTGGTGAGAGATGATTTGAGTTCTGCTATGGATGGCGGCTTCGGCACTGGCTTCTCGCGGTTGATATAGGTACTAGCCGTCGGTGGAAGCATGTTTGGGTCGCCGTCTTCGAATTCGTCGGAATAGTATTCGTCATCGAGGGGTGACTCGACCATTGCTCCAGCAGTGAATCCAGAGGCAGCAAGATCAGGGCTGCTACCCATTGAAGCATATGAAGAGTCAGAATCAGAGGCGAACAGTGGCAGTGATAGGTTCGCCGCGTCGAGGGATGACAAATCTAGTGTTTCTCTCAGTTTCCTGTTCTTCCTCTGAAGCTGACCACCCTTGCCGTCAAGCAGGCCGGTGCGGGCGAAGTAGTGCTGAACATGGGCGATGCTCCCAAGACTCATGACGCTCTCCCTCGACTGGGCACTTGCGGCAAAAGCCGTACCTTGGGGCCGCATGTATCCGCGTCGTCGACTGGCTCGACTGTCGACACTGTAACTCGAATGGCGGGATGAGGCAAAGCTCACATCGGAGCGGCGGCCATAGCTTGCAGATGACTGCCTGGAGAACGCATCGCTTCCCATGCTCCCAAGGGAGTCCCTAGGGGTGAACTCAGTGCCAGACCCGTGGGATAGATCGGATGCTGTCGACAGACAGCGAGAGAGCTCAGGATAGGCTCCTATCGCTGGTGTTGGGTCTATCTCAGGCGAAGGGGACTCGGCCCGCGTCGGTGCGGCCTGGTGATCGGTAGCCGTAGCCATGCTCGTCTGTTCGAAAGTCATGCAAACTGTCGACCGTGAAGCCAACAGCGGTAGGCGGATAGTTCAGCCTTTAAAATGAATGACGCAGGCGAGGTCAAGGGAAGCTCCCCTAGCTCAGCTTTATGGGAGTGGAATGTTGATGTTTCAGGTCGTAGGCGGGGCGACGAGCTGTAGGAATTAGTAGTCGTTAGGAAGTCTAGGTCAGGCGCTCTGTTTCGTAAGAAACATCAGAGAGTATATACAAGGCGCGAGAAGATAGCTGTTTATGCGATCGTCGGCACTGCGCAGCAGCCATGGAGGGGTTGCAGGACGACCAAGCAGGCGGGAATCAAATGGCTGCTGTAGAACACGAAGGGGGTGGGAGGGAATGTTTTCGTGGAGGGATGGCCTCGGACCGAAGCCGTGAAATGAGTGGACGGTGGTGCTCTCAGCAGGCAACGCAACGCAAAAGGCCAACGGCAGCAACGAAATAGGCGCAAAGCGGAGAACGGAAGGCAGATGGCTTCAGTTTGTCATGGATGGTGTGAGGAGAAACGAGGCGAGGCGAGCCAGCAACTGTCCTGCTCAAGGGATCAGGGGTTCGCTTTGGAGCTTCTGGCTGTCCAATGTCTTGCACTGTCTTCAAGTTCCCAGCTCCAATAGGAGACACCTGTCTGGGTTAGCCCCACAGACCAATTAAAGGGCGGGTTGCTGGGGAAGGAGAGATCGAGGGCGTGACGTGAGGACACAGAAAGCGCGTCGACCTCCGACATTTCCTGCTTGTGCTCGTGCTGGTGGTGGGGGCAGCAATGGCACGCGTCGAAACAATCAATAATAATCAAGGGCTAGCCACTGGAGACGCCGTACATGAGTGGCACCTGACTGGACATCCAATATAAATCGGCGCTGGGCGGGAACGGGGTATCAATTCGGCAAAGAACTACTTACCAGGCAGATGACGCCAAGAACCACAGCCCCGTGCACGCAATTGCTTCTAACCTGCCAAATACTAAGAATACCCAGGTGGCTTTCGCTTCTCTTGTCAACAGTACCCATCTCGAAAGCTGCTGAGGACTTCTAAACAGTGCACCATGTCTGCTTGTTGGTCTCGAGATGAGATGTATAAGCCTGGGAATCGAATACTCGCCGTCTTTCGGCCATTCGAGTTATGCTCCAATCACGTTCATTGCCTTCGCCTTCTGGTGCACAGAATGCCAGCCATCTGATCCATTGCCATTTGTCAAGAAAGTCATTGTCAATAGGGTATACACAATCTTGCGTCATAACATATCCATCTCTGCTGATATCCCCTGACACCCCAACGCCGCTCTTGGGCAGCTGTTGCCGATGTGGCTGCAGGTCGAGGTCGAGATCTGTCATCACCTGCGTTAGGGTCCCGAAAGGAATACCCAAACCCCATGGATCGTCAAGCTCGTTTACGCTATCATGTGGATAGGCCATTCCCCGCGTTGCCGAGCACCGAAAGACGCCAAAGCCCAGCCAGAGCTGGACAAGGCGATCTCCCTTGAGGCCACGCCTGTATATCTCGCAGCCATCCACTCATTATATTGTCTGACCCAATATCACGATACTTATCGCCAGCCACTGCTCCAGATCTGCTCTCGAGTGGATACACATATCCAATGTGAATGGGTTTCCCAAGAGTCCAATGATCACTCCTGGGCCATAGCCCAGCCGGCTGTCTGGGCTGTTAGGGTAGACTCGCTGAGGCGACCCTGAAAAGCCCCGTAGACCCCGTGCGTAGGTTGGCTCGATGGTGGTTGGCCTTCTACCAGGTAACCCTACACGCAAGGTGTACAGACCAGTCGAGACGTGGAGCTAGATCAGCAGTTCACCGAGACAGTGGCAGGCAAGAAGCAACATTGCTTTTTACGCCCCATGCGCGACACACTGAAATCCCGCGTGCCCTTTAGCATGTACAAAACCTACGGGATGAAGGCATTCGCTCAGCGTTAGATTGGCGGCGATTGCACTGCGAAGAACGTTCATGGCTGATGGAAAAAAGGGTCGAGCCATTCGATGCCCGGTTTCCAACAAAAGTAGATAGCAAACTTGACATATTTCAGCAAGCCGAGGCAACCCTATCCATGGGCTTTACTTCCGCCCCCGCTCCTCCTGTGCTTAGATCGGTTGAGGCGTTTCTCGACCTGCAATTCGACTTGTTGCCAGTGGCAACAGAGGACCATGACGCAGACGATGCTTCTCTCTGTCCTCTCATACAAAGGCTGACACATCAGACGCAAGAGTGGACAACGTCTTGCCAAGCAGCGCTGTCTGAGAGTCCGGTTCAGAGACACGCCGTGAGACTGAGCCAGTGGTCTTGTTTTATGCAGGTCAAACGCTCATGGCCGCTGGCTGTCAGTGCGTCGCAGCACAGTACCATGTACAAGTGAACCAGGTCACCCCGGCCGCCACAATCTTCCAGACACCTTCTTCTGCCCCTGGAAGCGTCGGTTCTGTCAGGGTTCTCGGGCCTGAGCCGCAGGGTAGGCCTGTATGACTGCCGCAGGAGGTGACATTGGTACGACCCTGCAACTTCAGCATTCCACCGAGGGCGACATCGTCTGATCGAGTTGTCGCGCCCTACGTGCCATGGAGGGAGATCTCGTTGCCTCGAAGATCATAATGGGCTGGAAGCGTGCACAAGACGTGGCTGGTAGTTACGTGACGAGGTCATCGACGCTACAGGTCGTCCATGGGAAATGAGAGAATTCTCGTCACACTGCTACCATGTTTTTTTCTTTTGGGTTTGGACGAGATTTCCCTTTCCGGGAAAAAGGCGCCGGAGAGATGGAGGTAATTTGCTTAACGAGGCGTTTCATCCAGCTACAGATTGTACCCCTCTCAAGGCGCCGGCTCCCAGACTTGAGCCTGAGCCGAAATCTGGTGTGACGAGCGAAGACAATCAAAGACCCTCTGCAAAATCCTCGACTGGGACTGGCTTTGCCAGGCTCGCGAAACCAGAGGAGACGAGACTCTCGTCCACCTCTCGGGACCCCTGTGTGTCAACTCTCAAAGAAGGGATCGAGCCACCTCGGTACCGTGGAGAACAACCCTTCTTGTCTCCTGCTTGTGCCCATTCATCGTGCACCTGCTCTGGTACCTCACACTTCACCTCACTCGTCCACGCGGCGGCTTTGCGATAAAGCGTCGCACTAATGGTTACTTGACTCGGGCCAAACGCTGTCTTCACGCGGCCTCCATCCGCCATTCGCTGCCAATCGCCGCCAACGCCGCCATAGAGCATCGTGTTCATCCGAGTGTCTCGCTTTCCTTCTTGATGGCACACTCTTTTGCAGCTTTCTTACTTCCCCATCATCCTGTCATTGACACAGCACATGTTGACTTGAGTGCCGTGCGGCCACTTGGATCTCACTCCTTTCCCTTTCCTTTATACATCTTCGTCGCCGGCGCGCATCGATAAAGCTGTCGACCGGCAGACAGAGGCGGCTACCACGACTTGCGACAGCAGGGACAGGACAAACGACGTTTCTCCAGACGATCACGGCGCACGCAAAGGACGTCGAACTTGGAATCGGTCTCTTCACCACTACCCACAGACTTCCCTGTCCCACCTTTGTGGTCGCTCCAATCTGACACCGGCGATTGTGAGCAGAACAGCAGCCTTCCTCTCTGCACTTGGTTTCCAACACGCAGACACACTACTGCATGAGCAAGGGGAGGCCCGCCTGCGCCAATAGCGACTGCATTCCACAACCTGCCTACATCATCGTCAAATGCCCTGTCACCGAGTTGGGGGCCTAGGAACAACACACGTCTGCCTATCTGACTCTACCCATTTCAGCATCTGTGTCAGGCCTCCTTCACTTGCATCCGGACCGGTTCTGGCCTTGCGACCCCGCTCGAGGCTGCGCTTCGAGAGACGTGTGATTGTGCATTGATCACAGGCTCCATAGAGAAACGGTTGATCCCTTTCCGGCGTGCAGCATTCCGCTGGAAGGAACACGTCGCGCGGCAAACAGCCGTCCGTGTCGGCATCGTCGCCGTCGCCGTCGATGGATGATGTCGTGGCTCCAGGAGGCACTCCGGGCCCTGATGGTGGTGCAGGTGTCGGTGTCCTGAGTGGCTTGACCCCAGGCTTCCAGAGCAGCGGCGGCTTCCAAGGCAGCAGTCCACTGACCGCTCCGATGACCTCCCCTGCGCCCGCCCCTGCCCCTGCATCTGCGCCTGCTACCACAGCCAGACTGCCCCGAAGTGCCCCATTCCCAGGCCCCGACGAACTGGCCGCTGGCCTTGCATTCAGTGACGTTTCTGATGAACTTTTCCAGCTGCGGCCCCAGTTCGATAACAACAACAACAACAATTCGAGCCCAACCATCACCGCTTCCAATCCAAGCCATACCACCAGCCCGTCACTCTCTAGGTCGACTCTGGCTTCCAATCCCGCAACACCCTATACCGGCACTGCGAGCACATCACCCTCGACTCAACCTGCTGCTACCTCACAGTCCAACACACCGACCTCCACTGCTCAGCCGCGCAGACCATCCCCCGGATTAGCTGCCCGACTCAAGGCGCTCGGATTCGGCACCTCAAACAAGAAATCCCCCGACCCTTCCCCGACAGCGCCACAGCACGACCGCATCGGTCGGCTTCCTGAAGACCAGATCCGACAACTCGAGAAAATACACCGGGCGAACTCCGTCAACTCGATCATTGAACGGCGCGGTCGCCCCTGGAAGGGTGCCACCGCTCCCCTTCACAGATCCAAGTCGATCGCCGACGACAGCTCGGATAGGCCACAGGCCACACAGACGACCGAGTCAACCCCCGTGCATGCTCCTCTGCAACTCACTGTCGCAGTGCCCGAGACCGCGCCGTCGAATGCTTTCTTGCCGGAGATTGCTGCCTCCGAACCTCTGAATATGGACACCCAGAAGTATCGCTTGCCGGACCACACAAATGGCAACGGCACCAAGGTGCAACTTGAGACAAGACAGGAGCACCTTGAGCGAACGGCTAGGCCACCCTCGCCCGACGAGGATGTGACTATTCCCCCTCCACCCACCCCAAGGACACTCCGCCCCATGTTGTCAGCCGAGTTTACCCCCGACATCTCCTCCTACTTTACGGCCCAATCATCAACGCCCAGGCTCGATCTACACACTCTCGCGCGCCTCCTTCGCGAACCAGCTCGCCCAGCTGACGTCGCTACAACTGCCCGATGCGGGCTCCCTCGCCAGCAAGGTCTCCGCCATCCCCACTGCAGACCAGGCCTCCAAAGCTCTGATCAACGCTGCGGAGCAGATCCGAAGTTGGATACAAAAAGCGTCTGAAGTCATTGCTGGCTTGGACAGCGAAGATGATGTAGAATGGGCAGCAGCTGGTGGGCGCGAAGGCCTGGCAGAGGTGGAAAGTGCAGCCGCTCGCTTTGAAGACCTGATCAACGTTTACGTCGGAGCGATTGAGAAACTACAGTGTCGAGAGGACATTGCCCTCGTGCCACCAGGGGACCTCAAGCGTGCTGTCGCCCAGATGGAGGCCATCATCAACGAGTGGGCTATCATCGGATCCACCCTGAACACGGTGAAACAGCAAGTCGAGATCGCCATGGAGTGGGAGGAGCTATGGAACAACGTCCTTGGCGACATTCAGGGCGAGATGGATGAGCTATGCCGTCTGGTCTTCGAGATGGAAGAACGACGCCACAAGTCTCTCATGGCCGCTACTACCAACGACACAGTCGACATTGGAGACTTGGAGACTATCGTCGAAGAGACCCCTCCACAACAAACCAAGCTACAGGTGCAGAATCGCTTCAGCCTCAGCACCTTCCCAATGAGCCCCAGCTCTCCCGGCACGCCGACACTATCACAGGATGACTCCAGTCTCCTCGCGCTGTTCGCCCGCATGCAGCCCTTGAAGGCGTCTCTAGAGTTTCTCCCCATGAGGCTTTCCGTCTTCGAAGCCAGGGCCGAGAAGTCTTTCCCAACAGCCTGTGAGGAGTTGGACATGCGGAGGAATGGCCTGGATGGTACTTACAAGAAGTTGGAGAAGGACGCTGAATCCCTGCGCAAAGAGCTAGGCGAAGATCGTTGGGTCCTTGTGTTCCGAGGCGCAGGACGACAAGCGCAGAAGATGATTGAGTCTGTGGAACGTTCACTTCTGAAGCTGAAAGATTCAGTTGATGAGGGCCACCATCTCACGAGCGCCCCCGCGCTCAGCAAGAAGATCGAGAGCTATGATGCCAAGCGAACCCACTATGGCCCAGCCATCGAGAGGGTTCTCTCCATCATCGACAAGGGCGTTAAGGATCGCCTGACAGTCAATGGCGAGATTTTAAGGCTGCTTGCTGAGATGGAAGCGAAATGGGGATCCTTGAAGGGGCAGATGGCGGATATGGATGCGACTTTGGACGAGATCCATGTTGACCAGCGCGCGCCACAACTGCGGGACTCCGTCTCGAGTATGCTTTCGAATGACCGTTCGACGATCGACAGTGGACGCGAAACACCAGGCAGCTCCCCACCATCCTCTGTCATCATGTCGAGCTTGGGCTTGGATCCTATCACGCCAACTGGGAAGCCCCGCAATGTTCGCTCTACAGGCAGCAACGGCAAGGCCTCGCACCCAAGCAACCGTCGGTACTCGTCGATGCCCACACCGGCCTCCCAAGTGTCGCGAAAGCCCCTGACGTCTCGGATGTCTACATTGGGCACATCCAACCTGCCAACTCCAGGCGGCAAAATTCCTCGTCCTGGCTCGACCCTTGTCAACCGACCGAAATGGAACCTATCGAGCAACACGTCGGATGTCGGTACCGGCCATAATTTCAAGCCTCTGTCGTTGACGACACCTAGCCCGTATGCCAAGAAGACACCTACGACAGCGCGAACGGCCTCTTCCTTGACCCCATCTTCCGGCCATCGCCTTACTCCTGCAGGCCGCAGTCCTCTCAATCGATCCTCCTCTGCTTCGCCCATGTTGGAGGAAACACCGACTAAACCTAGTGCATCGCGCCTGTCGTTCCGCGACAGAATTGCCTCTCCCGGCCCCTATTCCCAACAGGTTCTGTCCAAACCTCGATTCGCATCGTCGGTCTCGGCCAGCTCAGTCTCGACAACGGGGAACCGACGAGCGTCTCTACAACCGCCGAGACTCGGACAGCCCGATCCCGTCACTCCCGCTCGCCCTGCAAGTTCCCTGGCCGCAGGAAGGCGTGTCAGCATGTTGCCACAGCCCAGGACGATGGGCGCCAACGGCCGAGACTCTCCTCAGCTCACTGCAGGCACTCGAAGCGCTCTAGGAATGCGTAACAATTCCAACTTGGAATCGTCTGCGACAACAGCCGGTGCGAAACCTCGATGGCGGCATTAGGAGGCCGTCCTCACGGGCCGAACGAGACTGAGCAGTCTGAGTGTTTCGCCCGGACCTGCAGAGGCGGGTGCGAGTACCGAGACGGCGAAAAGCAAACCCCGCTGGCGGCTGTGAGCTATTGCTGGCCTCGTATCCTGGTCGCACAGAACCTGGGCAACGAACGCGTGCAGTTTCTTTCTCACCTCGGTTCGATCAGCGGATATCTATTTTCCTTGGTTCCCATTCTAGCGATCGATTATGGCACGGCGTTTACGGGTGAGCGGACCTACAGCGTTGAATTCGTCAGAGAGGAGAATATTGCCGATTCAGGGAGCCCTCCGACAATTGCGGTGGGGCCTTCAGAAGGGTAATCTTTAATGTGAAGATCCTCGGGTGTGAAGGGGGAAGCACGCGAGATTGACTAGTTGAAGGGGGAGAAGGCGACGAAGAAGGAGGCGACGAAGAAGAAGGAGAAGAAGAAGAAGAAGACGGCGAGGGAACAGGAAGGCGATAAACAGACTAGCAAACCGTTATACCCATGTACGTTTTTTAGCATATGAGACTTTGCAACTCGCTGGCAGGCGATGCTTTGATCACAAGAGAGATGTAACAAACTGCAACTGGAGAACGAAGCGATTTATCAGATTACGATGTGACCTGAGTCGATGTGCGCTAGCATGTCCCGGTGTCGCCTACCGGATCGTGACCAGCGCCGTCGCCCCTGTCGACAGAGACTGCTCCCCTC